ACACAAACATTCCTGATATGCATCACTTATCTCCATGTTCTCTCCCTCATTCGCCATCTCTACAACCCACAAAGACTGGGCCACAATCGCGCATATTTATGCGCTTACGGCAATGCCGCATGAATATGCATCATTGTCAACCGCCTATAAAAGAGAGCATGTGGAAGGTCAGCGTTCTCATACAGCAGATGTGGACTAAGAGCATTTCTAAAGTAAGCTTACAATGTTGTTAAAGAGTACATTTTTACTGACATTTGTTACTATAAACCCCAAATAATGTGCTATACAACACTATTACGTTTAAACAAATGTATCTTTCTCTACTTAATGTACCTATTTTTGGGATTGTATCTGTGCTTTCATTTAGCTAATTTTCAGCTGTTTGTAGCACCTCTAGTTTGCCACTGCCCAAAAACATTTACTTATGTTATAATGTGTTGTTTGGCCAAACATAGTATTTTTTGCTTGCCTTTTGCTCTTATGTCTTTTTTCTCTTTGTAGTTATTGTGAAAATAAAAAAGAATATTTGTCTTTGGTAAGTGTGGTCCCCACTAGGGCATGTGCTGTGGTTGGAGGGCGGAGTGAGAATTTGGCCCTTCTGTCTTTTTTCTCTTTGCAGTTCTCTGACGCATCCCCACCCCAGACAGGGGCAAGTTGATATTTGGTAAGTGTGGTCTCCACTAGGGCATGTGCTGTGGTTGGAGGCCGGAGCCCTGAACTTTGGGCCTTCTGTCTTTTTTTCTCTTTGCAGTTCACTGACGCAATTCCCCCCCACCCCCCGGGCAGGGGCAAGTTTATATTTGGTAAATGTGGTCCCCACTAGGGCATGTGCTGTGGTTGGAGGCCGGAGCCCTGAACTTTGGCCCTTCTGTCTTTTTTCTCTTTGCAGTTCTCTGACATATCCTCCCCCTTCCCCGGCCAGCGGCAAAAAAAAAAACCTTTTTTTTTATTTGGTAAGTGTGGCCTTTCCTCCAGGGCATGTGCTGTCTTTTGAGGCCAGACAACTAACCCTTGCCCTTATGTCACTTTTTGTGTTTCAGATTTCTTCTGGTCGACAAGGTTCCTGCTGCTGCTGCAAACAGCACCCAGCCAGACCCCCTGCCAACTTGTCCTCCCATGGTGGGCCAAAGAGGCCGTGGACCCAGGGGGGTGTGGTGTCCGCCTGGGAACTGGGTCTTCCCCTGGGCCATTTGGCAGGGGGGCCCAGGAGGGTGTTAGGGCCAGGGGGAGCATGGAGGGCCGGGGGTCTGGCTCTGGTGTGAGGGGCGCCAAGCTGGTGGCAGAAGGAGCCAGGCTTTCTTTTGAGAAGAGGCGGAAGCTGCGGCTGCTGCCTCCCCTTCTAGTCCTGGTGAAGGGACATCAAGAGGAGGCAGACGGGGCCAGGTCCTACCCCAGGCCCCCTACCGGGCCAAAGTTTCCACCATTCTCCCACGATGAGACATGGGCCCTGGTGTCTGCCTTTATGGCAAGGTCAGACCAAATTTTGGGGTCCAGGTCCTCCCGCAGCGGTCAGGCGGCCAAGGACCGTCTGTGGGAGGAAATCATGGTGGCCATGAATGCAGTGAGCAGGATGGCATGCTGGACCCTCCCAAACATCAAGAAGTGTATGCGTGATCTGAGACGGAATTTAAAGTATAAGTTGGCTGAGTGGGCTGAGCAGGGGCATGTTACCAACCGAGGTGTGGATCCTGCCCATCTTCAGCGCCTGTCTCGGGACGAAGGAGCACTTCTGCCACTCAACAGCATGTCCACGATTTTGGGGGTGACGGCTGATGCAGATAATGATGATTGGCAGAGTGGTAAGTACACTACACATGTCCATATTGTCTTTAAAGTTGTGTTATCTTTTTGAAAAGCAAAGTGTGTGAAATAGTGTAGCTTTACATTTGTTGTTCATTTTGTCTTGTGTTGTAGCCCGTCCGGAGCCAGGTGCTTCCCTGCCAGCCACTTGGACGACTCAGATCACAGATACTCTGATCCAGAGGTGTTTCCTCCTGGTAAGTACTCATTGGGAATGCACCCCGTAATGTTGAACAGGCTGCTAAAACATCAAACATCATTTTCACATGTCAATGTCCTATTCACAGCACAACATCAGCAGGAGGAGGAGGAGGAGAGGCTCCACCCACTGCAGTCAGGCCAGGAGGAAGATCTGGGTATGTATTAATGTGCTTGCCTAGAACAATCATATTCACTCATGATAAGCCTATGAGCATCCTTTTAGGAATGCAGAACAAACCAAATGCTAAACTCTGTGTGAACACAAATATATCTCCACAACACGCTGTATTTCTTTGGGCCTCCTCACTGTACTGCAATCAAACCCTTAGAGAAATCAATGTGAAAAAGTGTTACCACACAGAAATGTGTCTAATCCCTGCCAAATGTTGTGGGCCCAGTTTCCCCAGGCCAATACAAGCAGGTAACCCCACAAAACCAAATTGGGGAACTAACTGATGAGAGCAATAAAGTTCCAAACATCACTAACTAGCTGACATCTCCTGAGCTTTCAAAATCAGACTCGCCCTCGCAACTTCAGAAATTCTCCCAGACACAAAAACATTCCACACATTTAAACACATACAGGTAATCTGACCAATGTCAAAATGCTAAACTCTGATAGTCCCCAGAATATCAAATGAGTCGGGTGTTTAGTGGCATGCATATATCATGCCTGCTCAATATACAGGAAATGATGTGCGCCACTACAGGGACCTATCACTTCCCAATTGTGCAGCTCAACTTCAGGTTTTTTGCCACACAAAGGGAAGGTCAAACACACTTTGGTCAACACTATGGTTTGCAGAACTGGCAACATTCCTCAAATTCTCTTGGAATCAGTATCATTTTAAGGCCGCAGGTCTCCAGGCAAATCCTTGTTAAAAGTAAAGCCCAAAAGACTTCATGCTTGTTTACATTTCCATTCAATGAGTTTTACTGGCCCCCTCAAGGATGTTGATTTCCAGAGTAGTGTTTAAACACTTGTCACCCACAGTGTAGTTGTCATTTGTCTACAGTCCGGGAGGGCATCTAATGACGCCCTCCCACGTGCCCCTGGGGGCTCTCACCTGCCGACCTCTGTGACCTTTACCACGTGATCACGGCAGATCAACGCTCAATGCAATTGCCAGTTATCGGCTGCACTTTCCTCACACTGTCAGTGTGAGGAATGTACTGCAAATAACTGGCAATTTGCAGAGGATGGCTCGCCACCGATCATCAGGGCACTGATGATCATTTCCATGATGATCAATGCTGAGCAGGGCCACCAGTCAGTGCTGCCTATCAGTGGCCATCATTGGTGCAGATCAGTGCTGCATCATCAGTGCTGCCTATCCGTGCCACCTCATCACTGCAGTCTCATCAACAGCTCAGTGAAGGTGAAAAACTTACCTGTTTGAAGAATTTGATAAGAGAAAACAAGAGAAACATAGTTTTTCACATTGTTAGGTGGTTATGTATTTTAAGAGCAAACAAAAAAAAAAAAAACACCCAGCAGCCATTAAATATCCCCCAAAGCAACCATTATTTGTGTGAAAACAATGTCAGATGAGTACAGTGTTGCATGACCACAATTGTCATTCAAAGTGCAACAGCACTGAAAGGTGAAAATTGTCCAGCCCAGGAAGGGATTTTAAACTGGCCAGTAGGCAAGTGGTTAAAAAATCTGTGCTGACACGTCTGCCAGTAAAATCGAGTGGGCCCTCTCTTCTGACTTGTTTTCATCATGTGATCTGGGACTTAAGCCTAGTAAAACTTTAGAGGTCAACATCTAGAAATGTAGCTACTTACTCACCCAATTGTAAAGTTCAAAGTGACGGCGTCCATTTTACCATAGCTCAAAATGCAGAGGCAAAATCAAAGACATACCAACACTGAGTATTTTTGGAGCTATTTTCCCAAAGCCAAAAAACCCAGCCAGATCACAATTAAAAGCACACACAAATGTCAATTTTCGAAGTCCCGAAAAAGGAATCTCCAGGGGCAAATCATTTTACAGTGCCTCCCCCCCAAAGTAAATGAAATAATGTTTTTGGCCTCTCATGTAAACATGAGGCCAATAATTAGACTGCTTGAGTTTGGCACATCACATGACTAGCAGGAAGATCTATTCCTTTGCCAGACCTATCCACCTAGATCCTCTGCTTTGAAGTCGCCTAAAGCCCAAAAGGCATCATAAAGACTAATCTATTGTTCATTGACAAATACACTATATTGGCAACACTGTTGGGATGCCTTCCTTTCCGCACGCATGAACTTGAATGGCGCCTTAGTCCGTATTGTTCAATATTGAGTAGTCCCACCGTTTGTAGCTCAAACAGCTTCAAATTGTCTGGAAAGGCTGTTTAATCTTCTCAGATATTCTTAGACTGGTACATGAGATTTTTCTTTTGCACATTGAGTTGTCATGAGACCTACGTTTTAAAAGTGTTTCAAGGATTTTTTGTATGCATTGGTCTTGATCTCTTCAGATCCACAGTTATATCAACAATTCTTTGGAATGCATTTACATGCGTTGTGCTTTGTAAATATTTTGGGGCACATTTATGATTGATTGAGCATTTTGTGTTGGTATTTAAGCCTTTTTGGAATGTTGCCTTAACAAATGTTATATCTTTGGATTAAATGTTTGAAGGCCAAGGTTTAAAAGCCTGCAGTAGCTTATGGGCATATTGTAGCCATCCTAACACATCTGCCTCCTTGTTTGGCAGGAAAGGTGCCCACTAATTCTTGTGGCCCCTGCTCCAGATCCTTACCATGCCTCTTTCAACTCTCAAACAGTCTCGTGGCCTGTAGCTGCCAGTGTCCTATTTCTCTGGATAAACTGTTGTGAAAAACATAACAATGAGCAATCCCTCAAACCCTGAACAAAAATGTCAGATCATACATACAGCCTAACTTGTATCTGTTGCTAATCATGTTGAAATCTATTTTCAAATCTTTTTGACCTGGATGCCCCAGGTGATAGATACAATCTGCATCCGATGTTGGGGTATGGGAACTGCTGTAATGGGGTGGGGATGTTGAAATGCATGTTGCATGTGTATTTGTGCAATGCACTTTTTTGTTTTTGTGGCGCGGGGAATTTCAGACACTCCTGTATTATGTCAAAGTCCAGATAAAGATGTTATCCATAATGAGTTACCCATTTAGAGTATAACTCTGTTCCTGGCTGGGCAGGATTTGGCACGGTGATATGTAACTTACTTTTTTGAGATCATTGCTTAGTCATGAGCTGGAGAGAGTGATGTGCATGTGATAATTTGGAATTTTAGCTTTTCACTTTTTCTAAATCCTAATCCAATCACATTTCAGAGCAGGAAGGTATCAGTCTGGGTAAAGATGCCAAATCATTTATTTCGGGGAAATGTTCGTCCAGTGTGATGTGTCAGGGAAAGGCATTTGCCAATACCTGGACAAGAACATGAGCTAGTGTTTGTTGTCAGATGAGCCCCCTGTCCTACTGTATGCTTGTGCTGTGTGTTAAACACTCTTTAATGTTTTTTGTTTGTTTCTCTCCTTGCAGCCAAGATTGTATGCAGCTGTATCGGCACCTCACCCATTTGGACCCAGCCCCCTTCTCAGTCTTGGGGAAAGGCTGTTTTTCCAGATGGATAGATTATGGGAGCAAAGGAGGCTTTCTAATGCACCATCTAATTTAGAAGGTTTACTGGAGCTCCAACAGAACACCCTGATTGAACTTGTCACTGCTGTCTGGGCTCAGACTGTAGTGCTGCAGGAAAACAATGCAGTGCTGCAGGAAAACAATGTAGTGCTGCATGATATCCGAGCCTTGTGTCAAGCAGGGCTTGATCAAAATGCACCATCAAACAGCGGCTCACAAACCTGTGTAGTCGTTTGTAGTCAATGCCAACGGTGCCACACAGTTCCCCTGCTGAAAGTGGTGGGGAAGCAGCAGGGGAACAATCTTTGGAGGTGCCAATTCAGGAGCCACCCACTCTGGAGCAGCCCCCTCAAGAAACCCCACCCCAGCCCCCTCAACCCCAGGTCCAGTATGACTCCTTACCTATGCCTTACACTTCTGCACCTTCCTCACGCTCCACTTTGCCCCTTGACCACACCCCCACTTTCATAGCCCCTCACATTGTTCCTACACACCTCTCAATACCCTTACCGCCCTTACCAGACACATCATGCACACGTCCAGCCACACTCTAATGCCCCTCCCAACATTCGCCCTACCCACATACCCCTCTTAACCACACATTCACATTCAACCCCTTATTCAGCACTCCCTCCCTATCACTCTTTCACAGCCCCACAACCAATGTACACTGCCTTCCGGCCCTACTTTCCCTTCACCAGCCAGCTATCCCCAATGCCCTCTCACAGCCCCTCAATACCTACTCCCTCCCCAACCCTCATACCCCCCCCCCCCCACAGACAGCACCTGCTGCAGGAGCCGCACCTGCTGCAACCAGAGCCGCAGCCTCCTCCCCCTCATTAATTTTAATTATTTTAGGTACTTATATAGCTCCGTCAACTTAGGCTGCGCTTTACATATATATTGTACATTCACGTCACTCCCTAAGCCTCAAGGGGTGTACAATCTAAGGTCCCTAACTCACATTCAGACATACTAGGGCCAATTTAGACAGGATCCAATTCACCTACCAGCATGTCTTTGGAGCATGGGAGGAAACTGGAGGACCCGGAGGAAACCCATGCAGGCACAGGGAGAACATGCAAAATCCAGACAGGAGGTGCCGTGGCTGGGATTCGAACCAAAGACCCTAGTACTGCCAGGCGGAAGTGCTAACCATTTAGCCACTGAATGTTTATTTACTGTGTTTCATTTTATTTATGTTAATAAAATATTTTTTTTTATTTAAAGTGGCTGAACGTGTCTGGCATATTATCAAATGTGTTTGGGCTAATAATGTGGAGTTGGTCATGTAGGGAATTCAACACAGGTTTTTTTGTTTAGTGTTGTACCAGTAATTCTAAATAGTTAATGTTGACAATTGCAGCATCAGACCCCAGCCCTTCTCAACAAACTGGTGACCTGAAGGACTAGTCAATCTAAAACAGCGCTGTCAAGTACGTAACAATGCCCACGCACAGCTGCACCCTGCACAAAGCTTTTTACAGCTAATGGACCACACTCTGTGTTCCGACAGCCTGGGAGCGATTGTTACTGGGTCAGGTTAATTACGCAATTAACCCTTCACACTGCCAACACCTCCTTTTTGTACAGAGAAAGAGGAAACTTGGCAATATCAGCAATAACACTATAATGGTTGCATAAGCATCGGATACCACTGTCAACGCAGGCAGCGATATACTGAAGTTTAAAACACACACACAGTAGCGCTCTTCAGAGGCAGGGGTGCTTATTTTGCATTAAAGAGCTTTAAAAAACAGTTCAACACTTCCAGAAAGTAAGATTTATAAGTAAAAGGTCAAAAGGGTGCAAGAAAAATATTTTCAGAAAAAAAATGTAGCAGATGGATAGAACAATAGCACAGCAAAGAGAACAGAAGTTTAGAGGGATAAAGTACTTGCCTTGGGTTAAGCAGATCAGGTTTCAAAGCCAAAAGGGGCTTATCTCCCAAAGTTAGTTCCTATGTTTAAAAGGGAGATTCTACCATTTTCTCTCAAGTCATCTTAGCTTAACTTCAAGCATCACAGCCTTTATGTAGGAACTCAGCAGGGTGTCTCCCTGAAGCAGAGAGCCAATTGCCTCATTTGGGTGGGTGTCAGGTGGAGACCCAAGCTATGACCAAAAATCACTCATTGATTATATTACGGTTCATAACTTAGCCTGGATACATAGAACATTCTATCCACGAGTAGATTAATACGCACAATCTTCTGCTAAACGTCTACATATGAGATACGTGCTTGGATGCTTAAGGAGATATCATTTTCTGCTCTCCTGTATATGACAGCTAGGGTGTGTAATATACCAGGCGACTTGTCTTAAAGTGAGCCATCCAAATATGTGCTCCATGTTTGTGTAATTATTTCCTATTTGGAGATATAAAATTATATGTAAAACTGGGTTTTAAAATGTGTCTGTTTTACGATTCCCTGGAATGTCTTTTGAAGCTCAGCGAAGGCTCAGTTTATGGCTTTATAACCCCTTCTCCAGCAAGAGTCTCCCAGACAGAGGAGCACCAGCTAGTAAGGTTTATACCCATGACGCCCTCCCAATGAGTTTTCTGCCTGTGATCTCTGTCATCATCCAGACCACATGTCACTCAACAGAGAGGGGGGGGGGGATATCGAAGGAATCTGATTTGGGAGAGAGAGATACAATATGGAGTGGTTTGGAGCAAAATGGATGAGCGCGTCCCTCTCTGTGGGCACGATTGCTACAGTTAACACTCAAAAAAAACAGCACATACTAAATAACATTGAAAGTTGTCACTTCCCAAGGCATTGGTGGTTATACTCTTTGGCCTTTCTGCTGTTTTTACCTGGTGGTGTGTCCTTCAAAGAGTTCTAGATGTTCCACATCAAACACGTTCTCTGGCACATGTAGCAGTTGGGCATTATCTGCTATCAATTTGGCTGGCCCAATTGAGCAAAGAATTATCAGTGGACTCTGTGGGCAAGGCTAACTTTCCCAAATATGGGATAAAACAATATTGCTGCTTGTTTGCAAATTGTTGGCTAGCTTTGCTCTTTGTGGGATGTTGATTTTGAAGAAGACTCCTGCATCAAACACTTGCCTCCCCAGAGACTGACACTGCTGTCCAAATACGTTCCCTGGGCTACTTCATTAACACACACTATAAAAAAGTGTGTCAATAGCCAGGCCACCAGTTGCAAAACCAGGCCACAACTTACAAACATTAAGCCTGCCAAGGAAAGCTAGAGACACCTAAAAGTTGTGAGAATAAGAAAAATGACTTCTGTTGTTTGGACTATCATTAAGCTTGACTAACTAGACCCAGACTAAGTTTGCTTTACACACCGTGTTACATCTTGCCCCGTGATTGGTTGGGAGCATAAGATCTTACGCTCCCTTTATTTAGACATGTGTGCCTATAGAATTTATATGCCCAGTGGACACTTGTTCCTCACTTCATTCCCTTCCCACCTCCTGTTGACAAAACACTGATATGTGAATGAGCAAGTTGGATCCAAGTGGTATGTGGTGAGCAGATAGTCAATTTGGCCATTAGGGCCTCTTCTTTGCTGCGGGACATTGCATGTAAGTGGTCTCATCCATAACTGATAGTCCTTCCAAGAGCAGCTTTCAAGTCATGTGGCTTCTGTGTAATGCCAATCCCAATTAGATATGAGGTCAGAAGAAACATCTTGACAGAGTTGCCCACAGGATCCACCCACACATTATCTACTTGGTTGCACCTCCCCTTTTGCCAGTCTTCACAACTACACTCCACCAAGCTACCTTGAAGTCCCTGGATGGACTGAAGAGCTACTCCAAATGTAAAAAAATGTAACGTGAATGGAATGTTCTGTGTAAACTATTGGGGCATTTCACAAGCGGCAGCAAACTAAGATTGGGAGTAGCTGCAGACAGCAAGCAGACAACTTCAATCTTTATATATCCGAGCTTAGGATTGAAGGAGCTGGTTTACCTCTTTTAAACATGCAATCCTAAAGCTGGACTTGCCAGAAAAGACTTTGTTTGGACATTAACAAAAATTCAAGGTAAGCAAGATTGGCCACTGCAGCTGGAGCTAGCCAAGTACTGCAATGCTTTAGGGACATGCAGATCAGCTCAAACTGCAATGAAGAAGATTGCCTACCTCCAAAGGAGGCTAAAGAAGGCCACAACACAGTGCACTGTCAAATATAAATAGAATATTTATAAAAATATTAAAAAAATTTAAAAAAAAAACCCCTAAACTTGGGCCTTAAAAAATGCCACGATGGCAGGCTCATCCTCTGCAGGCCCCACCCCCAATGCATCTCCCAAATGAATGATGCACCGGCAATTCCAGTTCATAATTCCACAAATAGCTGGCTGGTTGAACACTGTAGAAAAAGTAAAAAAAAAAATTATTAGCTGCAATAAAAAAAAAGAGACACTTGCTTCCAAAACAAACAACAGCATGCAATAATTGTCTAACTTTGTCCATTATCCTGAAAGAACTCTATGCTGTTGTCAACTCAAAATTGGAACACAGAGCTTACATTTCTTGCCTAGGAAGATTTCATGGCCCAGGGAGTGAGCTTGGAATCCTTAGGCCTAGAGTAAAGTGTTTTCTCACTGACTACAAATATATCTGTGGGCAACAGTGAAAAGGGCAATCTCATCAGTAAAGACAACAGATGACTTTACCACACCTATCTCCTCCATAGAGTTCCCAAAGACATCTATCCTAGCTTTCTATTAGCTGCATGGGGGGGGGGGGGGCCCTACACACATTATACACAGCCAGAGCACAGAGCTGAGCAAACTATGTGAGCCTATTGGAGACTAGTGGCCCAACTCCCTCCACACAGGTCCAGAGATTCCTATAGAGCTGGCAGTGTGATTAACCAGGTGTGTCCTTGAAGGGAGGCAGTCCATTTCCCAGGAAGCTGGATGTGTCAGCTGCATCTATTTGTAGTGATTCTTTAAGATGGTGGAGAGACCAGAGTGGAACAAACACTTGTTACTTGGGAAGCAGGTTTTTGCTCACTGAAGTGTCAGGTTAGTGCTTGACTATTGTGTCACATTCTTTGTTTATTGTCCTTTCTTAATTAGAAAAACACTTTAATGTATGCCTATGTAGACAAACTCAGCTGTCAGGTCTAAGTGTGAATATTAAGCCCCTATCTGCCTGATGTGTTTAGTGTGAATGTGAATGTTTTATTTCTTTGGGTGGGGCAGCCTAAACACAGGATGAGGCCGACCAATTTAGACAAGGGGGAGCTTAAGCCTTC